GGGCGGGGTGTGGGGGAGGTTGGAGGTGCATCAGTCTGCCTCAGGCCCACACGCTCCCTGTCCTTGGAGTGCACACAGCTTCAAACCATGCATCTCCCCAGCCCCGCCATCCCTCAGCTTGACAGGCACAGACTCACAGAAAGTGGGAAAAAGCTGGAATGAAAGAGAAGTGCTGCGGGCAAGGGAACAATGCGGTGTGAAGGTCACACTGAATGGCTGGGATATACCGCAGCTGAGAAAACAAAGCAAAAGGAAAATATGTTTGAAAGAAACAGTTTGTTCTTGAGAGGAATTCAGCACTATAGAACGAGGAGAGAGAGAAGTGTACACATGCATCAGATTTACTTTGGAGCACAAGTTGCCCTCATCCGACTCACGGTTAAGTGAAACAATATGGCAACACCATCCTACCACCACCATTGGCACAGGGCTCCACGCTGGCAGGAACATTGAGGTTTTATGCCATCGGGAACTGATCACGGGCTCTTATCCCTTGTGGACACGAAGATGCCGTTTCCAGGAGCTAATCTTCATGTGAATACCATGTTTTGTTTTCCATCATGTCTCACAGCCCAGCACTGGTCAGCCAAGTGCCCACTGCTCCCATCTCATTTCGCCCACAAAATACACAATCACTAGACTCTACAGTACCTTGTGTGAAGCTCTTTGAGATGTCTCAATGATCTCATAAGGTCCTATGTGAAATGCCAGGATTATTATCATTGCTGTTCTTTGACTGTTGAGAGAGAAAACACCACTCACTCCTTAACAATAATAACTCTTGCATTTGAGACAAATTAAATCCAGAACATCTCAAAGGGCTTCAGAGTTTGTATGAAGTGTCGTGACTGTGTGTTTGTGATCCCAGCTTGTGTCATTTCCCATGTCACTGCACAGCCCACTGTAACCTCGAAAGCTGAAATTTCATCACCAGCGATGTCCTTCAAACCAATGGCCAGTGCTAACAAAGACAGCAAACTATATATTGCTCCTGAACAGGTGATAGAGTCTATAAGAGACTTTACATCCATCATACATTTGCTGAGAGGCAAACATGAAATCGACCCACACAAAATTGTTCTTTCACTTCTCTCCAAATGGACTGTGGGGCACCAGGGGCTATCCAGAGCCAGACCAACCCGATTAAAAACACCTCCAGCCCTTAACGAGACGTGGGAAGCCAACCTCGGGGAGCCCGCAGGAAGGGGCCAACCTGGGATTCGCTGCTGGTGATTGTGAGACATGTTGGCACTGATTCAGATCTCACAGCAATTTCTGACACAGCAAACCCTGTGCTTTTATTTAGACTAATCATAAATCCCGCTCTCCTCACCTAAGTGAAAGAATCAGTCAATGCGGCCTGACACATTGTATAAATATAATATCACATCAGTGCCCACGGGGTAAACGGAGAAATAGCAGCACTTCCACTGCATGAGAAGCATTTTATCAACACCTTTTATTGCGCGTCTATAGAAATAGAGCACATAACAGTCGAGCAATGAAAGCCAATGAGCACTGTTGCTCTTGTTAATGAGGTGCAGTGTTACACTGCCCACGGGAGCAGTTTCCACATCGAGTACTGTACACAAAGAGAAGCTCTCAGACACTGAAACGACTGCTCGGCAGATAACAGGTATTTCAGGATCGGTCAGATCCAAGGTGGAGTGGACTGCCATCCCGTCCCTTGTTTCCTGTCCTATGTTGTGTTTAGCTATCCTGCCCTGTCGCTCATGCTCCCCATTCCACCAGCGGAGGCTGCACTTTCAGCCACTACACGAAACATGGCAGCCAATTGCGCACAGCAGTGTCCCACAAGCAGTCGTGGATTGAGTGACCAAATCATTTTATTTATTTTTGGAAGGGATTATTACCCTTGGAAAGTGATCCACCAATCGACTAACTGGGTTCCTGCTCACTGCTAGGTAAACAAGGATGTGGACTAAGGAAACTTGCCTAAGATTTCGCCCTTCCAGGGAATCGGAGCCAGGTCCTTTCGGTCGCGAGGCGAGTGCTCTAACCACTACACTACGGGACTTCATGTTTAGACATCTCAGTGCAGTTTGACTATTTGAAAGCTATTAAAGCAGCACACAATTGGCACAGTCCATGATAAAAGCACAGCAAATAATCGTTCATACCTTGCCGTCGGTGATGCTCTAAGTTGTAACTGATGTCACCAAATGTTAGTGAAGTGTTCGCTTTCCCACTGAAAACATGGATGAGAAAGGGTCTGGTTCAGTGATGATAATGATAATAATATGATGGCAGAACCCTTCAATATTTGGTGCAGAACTATGGTTTATAGTTCAGAATTAACCGATAAAAAAGCACTGAAAAAGATAACAAGTGTCACGAGAAGCAAGTGAAATAAATCCGATGCTTTATGAACTCAGTTGCTATTTTAACAACTTAATGCACACCAACCTTCTCAAGTGCAGCTACAGCCAGAACACATCAAACCGCCTCATCAGTCTCTGTCTAAATGGGTCTTTGCATTTAGACCCTCAATCAGGAGGAGATTTGTTGCTAACCACAGATATATTAGCTCCACTTGTATCTTTTTTTTCTATTAAAGGAAAGAATGAGCAGAGTCTATGTCTCATTTAGTCCACTTACACAGACACACGGAAGCTTGGCTGCCATCCTGTCTTGGAGAGCTCAAGGAATCCATCTTATTTAAACCCAAATACATTGCAGGAGGACACTCACTGGTAATAACCCGCTCCCCCATCCCTCCCGCCAGCTTGCTGTGCATCAATTCGGCCACAAAATACAGTCAATTGACTTTACAGTATATCCTGTGAGGAGCTTTGAGACGTCTGAACCACTTGATCAGGTGCTATATCAAATCCAAGGACTGTTATTATTATTAACTCAGCTGGTTGATGGGCCCAATTTTTCTTCTGTCTCAGACGAGAAGAGCCATGGCTTTCTGACTGAGCCCAGGACAAGGCACAGCAGCATTAAGGGATGAGAGTTTAATATCTGAATACAACGTAAATTCAAGATCTTATTCGCTCAGGTTTCTAAAAATAGAAATGTACTTGACCAGAATTAAACTTTCTTTTTGGCACAGAATCATCAATATGTTGCTTTCAGCTGAATAAACTCATTGACTTCCAAGAGACATCTCGTTGAGGATGGATTACAGGACACACACTGAGCTCCTGCGTGATGGCCAACACACCCCTCCCTCCCCCAACCACCCACTGACCAGCAGTGACCTGCAAGTGGTTAGATCCAATTCTCCCCCATTGAACAGTTGGCTTGGCTTATTTTTAAAAAAATATGCAATTCCCCCGACACAAGTACGATGAGGAAATTGGGTTAATTAAATTCTCAAAGCGCTCAAACCATCCACATTATTGGACTTCATTGTTACAAAACTTGACTTATTCTGTGAGCTTCATAGGGCTTTTAGTTTCGCAAAGTTTAAAGGCAAACTCAAGTGACTATGTCAGGGAGAAGTCTCAGAGTATCCAGGTTTCTAAAGTCTGGGCAGTTTTCAGCAAGTACTGTAGTGTCAGTGGTTAGAGCACTTGCCTCACAAGTGAGAGGACCTGGGTTCGATTCCCAGGCAGCGTGAAACCTTTAGCAAATTTCCTTACTCCGCACGTCTCCGTTAATCGAGTGGCAGATCACTTTTCCCGGGGCAAGTGCTCTAATCAATACTCTACAGCACTCCACTGATTTGGTGAAATGTTAAGACGAGTTAGTGTTTGAGTTATTGGATCTGAATCATTTCCTTACTCTTAGATCTTGCTGGTCTGACAAATGGAGCCGGCGGCAATGACAGGACATCAAGCCAGTCTCCAGCAGCCCTGACTGACACTGACCCATCTCATCCTCCTCTTTCCCACCAGGAGCGACTCTGTTCATTACTCTGCAACACAAATGAAGGTTAGCAGATTCTGTAAGCTTACTGTGTGAGCATTACTTGTAAATTCATTGACTCGTGGAGAATTAATTCAAGTGGGTTTAGATCATGTTACAAACATGTCCCTTATTACCTCCAACACAAATTACATTAACTTTGTTGTGTTTCATGTTGGCACATTTGGTGCATTTGAGAATGCAGCAGCCTTGAAATGGGAGACGGCAGGAATGAAAGATCCACTGGATACATCATGACTTAAAGTCTAAAGGAAAATTAATGACTGTTGGTTCAGTCCCCCCCAAGACTACATGGTGAAGGGTGTACAGTTAAATGAGATGTAACAGGGAAAATTTGAGTGTGGAAATTGACCAAATGTGAAGTGTCATATTGTATGACAGCAATTGGCAAGGGAAAGGCAGCAGTAAGATGTGTAAAACACAAGTCAAGATGCTGTGCGAAGGAAGGATACGGATGCTGTAAAAAAAAAAAGCATAATTGATCGTACTCGCATCCTGCTTTAATCACAGGATTCCGTGACACAAGAAGCAGAGACGGTGGGAAGGATTTCAAAGGTAACAAAAACAGCAGCGAGATAAATGCCATGAAGTCTGGGCAGCTCGATCTATTTAATTTTATTTAAAAGCAGCGAGAGAGAGAGAGAGAAATGATGATGACCCAGGCTTTTAAATCACGTAGTTGGTAAGAGTGTGAAGATGTGCATATGACCGTTACACACCAGCCTCTGTACTCGATATAAACTGGGTCAAGTCACAGGACCTGCAAGTGAACAGAACTACTTTACGTGGAGACCTTAGCCCTATGAAGCATGAGAGGTTTGAATGCGAGGCTGACATATTTCACAAGAGGAAACGTTAGAGGAACGAGTCTCAGCTATTTTCAGGACTTTCCACTTGCGAGTTAAGAGCCAGCATTATAGCTTGCTAACCATGCAATTTCCTATCGAAGTGCTTTTTTTTAAAGGAGAAAAATTGCCACAAGCAGCGAGAATAAATACAGGAGCACGATTGACAACCAATTTTGTGGTCAACAGCCCCATTATTGTCGGGGTGGCAAGATGGGCCCTAGCGGTGCAATTTCCGATACAACAAATAACAACCCATTTTGTCCAAAATCAATGCTGTATTTGTCTCATTGATCTACAGGAATCAAGTCTGTTTAAAATACAGAAACCAAAGTACAGAGCAGAAAGGAGGAAATGGCAGCTTCATGTATGAAGTAACTACAGAGTAAAAGCCCAGATATATAAACACAGACGCTGCTCGTTTTGTCCAGCAAGTAAAACATGGCAAAAATTTACATATGACCAACAGTTTAGCTTAGCAGAGCAGTCCGGTCCAGACCCGCACGCCGCCAGAAACATCTGTTTAAGGATTTAATTTTGCTAAGAGTATCGTTTTCTTTTCAGAAATGTTACCGTGAGATTTTTTGACTCCTAAAATACTACTCGTCTTGTATACAGATTCCATTAAAAACACTGCACAATTACACAAGGTCCACACTGAATAGTCCTTGCCAGCCGCTAAGAATTTCTGCCCGTAATTGTCTGTGATGTGGTTGGTATTTGAGAAATAAAGCCTTGCTCTCTCTGCCGAGTGTCTTTCTTGGTCCGACAGTTGTCTTGCTCTCTGTGGTGATGCAGTCTATTCCAGGTGTGGGGTAATGAAGGGTGTTCTGTCCTCTGTTGCACACAGTGGTTGCTCCCCAGCGTGTGCTGCTGTTAAGTTTTGGATCACACGGCCTTTTGTGAAAGACCTGCCTGTGCTTCTTGCATAGTTGAAGTTGAATATGCTTCTTTGAATTGGAGTTCCAAGCACACTTGCACGTGACACGATAGGAATAACCGTTACAAATATCCAGTGAGCCGTTTCTAGATTCGGAAACCTTTTATAAAGTCTACCTAAGTAAAGAATTTAATTAGCGTGTTCTGCATATCGACAAGAGTATTTACATTTGTACAGGAACCACAAAGACCTCTGCTTCTGCATATCATTGTATTTGTAATAAGGCAAAACAAATTCAGATTTGTACATTGCTCATAATACAGACGTTTTCTTGGGTAAATGAAGGAAAGTCAACTTTTTATTTGGCCTCAAAATGGAACCTCACAGTGGCTTTATTGTAAATTGGTATCTTGATAAATAATACCGTAGTAAACCCTGGGTAATACTAAAATAGTCTGGAGGCTTGCGATCGCCAGTGAAACAGAACACACAAAACTTAAAAGAGCAAACAAAGCCAAATGAAAAGATTACAAATCCGTACAAATTAGATTTCAATTATTGGAAAAATGTACAAACATGATTTCGGAATTCTCTGCACAAAGAAATCTAGAGATTTATAATTGATAATATATTAATTCCAATTATAAGCAATCTTCTGGTAAGAAAGTTCAGACTTTTTTTTTCAACCCCCTTTTTCCCCCAACTGTGCTTGGATTCTATAAATGTACAGCTTTCTCTTGTTTGCAGTGCATTGCTCGAGACAGGATTTTGTACACAGGACCCCTCACTCTTGCCAGGTTCTAAGAACTACCGTGCCTCAACTTCTTTTGGATTGCGAGAGGGGGAGTAGTCTGTGGCCTCTGAATTGGTGAGTGGGGTAGTCCTTCGGGGAGAGGTGGAGCGAGGGGTGCCGGCCGGGACCAGAGGCGGGGGTGCGCTCAACGCCGCTGTGGGTGGGGTTCGGTTTAAAATGCCGTTGTGGTTGGCAGTGGAGGGGCTGAGCCTCGGATAGTGCATTCCGCTTAAGTGAGGCATAAAGGTTGGCAGTTGTGCCAAGTGACTGTCCATGGCTGACGTGTGCAAGGCGTGGAGCCTGGCCCGGTCAAACTCTTCCCTCAGATGCAAGCGTTCCCTCTCGTCGTGCTGCCGCAAGCGCTCGTGCTCACGCCTGGCCTCCAGTAGGTGCTCATGGTTGTAATCGTGAGGCTCGCGGTCTCGGTACGAGCGGTCGTGCTCGAAGAAGCCGGCCGCCGTGGGGAAGCGGTTCATGTGGTCCGCGCGGAGTGGGAATTCCATCCTCCGGAAGTCAAGGCTCCGGTACGCGTCCCGCAGAGGGTCTCGCACCGGATCCCAGGAGAAGCCTGGATGAGCCAGCCGTTCCCGTCCCGCCAGCGGGCCTATGAAGGGCGTCACCATGCGGGAACGGTCCAGCATATTCATATTGTTCATCTGGTGCACGTTGCCCACAGTGATGGGCACAGGCCCCATGGTGTGAGCCAGGGACAGTCCGTGTAGGGAGGGGTGGTGAAGGGGCTCGCTGCTCCGGGCGTGCTGTAACGTGTCCGACCCGATCACCATCACCTCGTTATCCTCCTTCCTCTCCTCTTTTATCTTCACGTCGTTCTTTACCTTCTCGCACAGAGTCTCCGGCTTCCTCTCACTCTCTTTGCTCACAGAGTTACCGAGCTTCAGGCCCTCGCTCAGCACTCGGTTGTATGGGGAGCTGGTCCTCACCACCGGCTTGGCATTCTCCTCCTGTAGCCGTCTCTCGTGGCTCTGTCCTTCCTTCACCGGTGAATGATTCTCTTTGATTTTATGTTCAGTGCCTGGTAACTCCCTCAGGGGGTCTGTGTGCTCTCTCTCCAGCTCCTTTGACCGGTCCCGCTCACTGCTGCCGTGATGCCGGCTCTGATCAGCGCTGCCTCGGCTGTTGCTGTGGATGAGGTTGTTGATTTGGTGATTGACAGGCGCCGAGGCTGGTGACGATCGATTTGAATGTCTGTTTTTATCCACTCCGTCCCTAGGCAAACGGAAAAACAGGCCCGTCACAACACGGCAACCAAACACGTCACTAAGTCTGCATCGAGGAGCATTTCCATCTATGCAAAAGGTAAGCGTGCAGAGCTTGAAAATAATAATATGCATTAAATGCAGTGCCTTATCACGTCGTTGAGACGTCTCAAAGCGCTTCACAGGAATACATTGTAAAGTGAATTTACTGGATAAATTATGGGTGAAACGCGGCGGCCAATTGTGCACAGCAGCGACCCCCAAACAGCCATGGATTGAGGCACCAAATTATATATGTTTTTATTTTACTAACTCACAAAGCGAAAACAAACCAGATAAGCAGCCACTCAGCAGCCAGTGGTTCAGATGAAATGTAAAAGGCAATAACTCTGGGGAATACACCTCACATTGCAGGAACCTCTTAATATTCTAGACTGAAACCCCAAATGGGGTCTTGAGCTGACAGTCGAGGCTGACAATGCGGGGGAGGGAGGGGGGCAGCACACCCTACATTACCTTCACCAAAGGAGCATCTACAAGTGTCTAAGATAGAAGCAAAACTATATTAGGAAGAGGATGTTCTGCGGGAAGATGACAGTCTAGGGCACATCTTGGCTGCAGCGGTGAAGCCGCTGGAAGAGAAGCCAGAGATGCTGGTACCTTTCTTTATCTCGGTCGCTCTTCAGTGAAGTATCTCTCTTCTCCGTCTCTCGATCTCTGTCGTGGTTGGTGACGGAGGAACTGCGTTCAGAATCTCCGGGTTTGGGCCACTGCGGGGGGGTGGGGAAGGACGGGGGCGTTCGGTGAAGCCGGTTCCACGGCTCGTGAGGATTATTGTGGCTCTGTACACCTGGGCCTTCTTTGTGACCAAACATGGCGTTCGAAGCTGAGAGAGAAAGAGAGAGGACAAGGGAGAAATGTAATTTTGTCGACAGGACATATACAAACACTGTAAAAGGTAACAGAAAGTGAAATAGCTACAGATGGTTCAGAAACAAATGGCGTGTCACCGAAATAACTAACGTCTTAAGGAAAGGTTTTGGAAACACAAAGACGAACGAGTGGTCTTTAGGTTTACAACGTGAGGTGTACGCACCGAGTGCTGGATTGCCTAACCCTCCAAAGGCACTGGTGCTGAGGTTGCCAAGGCCACTGAAGGTGTTTGCTCTACTGAATGGATCTGGAGAGAAAGCACAAACAAGAGTGGCTTCAGTGACTGCTGTAAAGCCCCTTTTATTTATTCAGCCGTGAGACTCAGACGGGATTTAGCCGGGGTTAGCGCTGCTCTGACTTTACAAGGTCTCTTTGCACACTGGTCATTCCAGGTTAAACCCAGACAATGAACAGTTTCCTCAGTTTACAAACACTCATACCACACACACAAAACATTTTCAAACGAGTTCAATGGATCTAAAAATACTTCAAAAAGAGTTTTTATTCTTTATGAAAGAACAAGATTGTAAAGTGCAGACCAGGGACATGGTCACGTGCTTGTCAAACGAGGCAAGTCAAACTATTTGGAAAAGTAGGATTTGAGAGATTGTTCATTGTTGGAGTGTTGAAAGAACTTTCCTGTGTTTATTTTTACTTGCTCTCTGAGCGTGAATGTTATCTGGTGTGGGTCTGCTGCCACACTGCCTGACACAGAGCTCCCAATCACTGCGCAGGCCACGGGGGCTAATCTCCTAAGAGAAACAAGCAAGTACTTGTAGAGCAACGGTATCAGTGGCTAACAGGGAAACAACAACAACAACAAAATTTATAGAGCGCCTTTCACGTCCCAAGGTGCAGGAAAGAGCAGGGGCTACACACAGCTTTAATAACAAAGGCTCAATGGGGCAAACAGCCTCCTTCTGTAATGTAACGTAAACTCAAGTTTCCTTACTCCACAAGCTCTTGTTTATCAGGGGGTAATAATCCCTTCAAAAAAATTAAAGTTTTAAAAATGTGGTTGTTTCGCCCATAAAATACAGTCAATTCACTTTACAGTATATTCTGTGAAGCGCTTTGAGACATCTCGAAGACGTGATAAGACGCTGTATCAAATGCAAGGATTATTATTATTACTGTATTATGTTTCTGAATGTGTGGGTGCACTAAACCAACTGTTTTAACAGGAAATCCTATTGACATGAAGAAACGAGCTGAGAAGATTTACTGGAGCTGAATAATGAAAGTCTTGAATTAAAAGGAGAGGAGGTGATTCAGCCGAGATACTACGACACTGTGAAGATACAGCAATGAGACCAATTCCTTCACACCCTTTGCCAACGAGATTATAACTTGTTATCCTTGGGAGTGGTACAGCATACACACAGGGAACTCTCAGGTGCTCCTAAACAAGGTGACGGGATCACTCAACAAAACCCTCTTAGGAATTTGGTAAGAGTGTCATCTAAAACCAAGTTGACAGACACGAAGTCCAAGTTAAAGGAGAGCTTGAATCAGTTGGTTTGCTTTTACCTATGTGTTACTGGCAAAGAGAGAAAGGCAATGGCCATATGTATAAACTTGTTATTTGCCTTGTTTTGGTTTTTGAAGACTTTATTGGGTGGAAAATATGACAAAGTAGCCTGTTTTTTTGTACTGGAGCAAGATTAATAAGGGAAATACGGCTGAGTTAAAGTTACTCAAATTGAACATGTGAGAATCATTTTCTAAAATATTCTGTTAATGTTGCTCGACCTGCTGCTCATTTCCTGTATAATCTGTAAAGAGTTTCACTCCTTATATTTGGCTAAAGCTTTGGTTTCATAAATACTGGCTAAAGATATACACAATATGTACCCACATACCTACACATTCTATCAGTTTCAGATTCAGGGAGTTTCAATTTCACCACCAACGAGCAAGTTATATGCAGGTGGGAACAGCTGAACAATCTGAAGTACTATTTGAAGTGAGAACTTAACAATAATGCTTGCATTTGATTATAGGCCTTAACAGGTCGTCGAGACGTCTCAAAGCGTTTCACAGAATATACTGTAAAGTGAATTCACTGTATATTTTGTTGGTGAACAGCAGCAGCCATTCGGGCACAGCAGCGTCCCCATAAACCGCCTTGGATTGAGTGACCAAATTACTATAATTTTATTTGTTTTATTCTGAAGGGATCGTTAACTCCCGGAAAGCGATCCACCAATTGATTAACAATTGACTAACAACCGGGTTCCTTCTACTTACTGCGAGGTAAACAGAGGCGTGTAGAGAAAGGAAATTTGCCTACGGTTTTGTCGTGGGCAGGAATCAAACTCGGGTCCTCTGGTTTGTGAGGCAAGTGCTTGCATAGGGAAAGAGGGAGGCAATTTACAACTGAAGCTGGTCCTGTCCTCGTCTGACATCAACTCCCACTTTCCCAGTCCCAGCAGCAGTCACAGGAGCGACAGGAGCCTTGCTTGATCTTTCCCTTCCCTATCCCAGAGGCACTGGGAGCAGCTATTGCCCTGGCTGTGAACAGCTAACTCAGCACACAGGCATTATTGGATTTAGTTCAAGCTTGATCGCAGATGAAAAATGGTGACATAAATTGCAGTAATGTTCCATTCCGGCGGCACTTGGGTCTCACCTGCCAGGTGACCGGTGGGCAGGAAACTGTGGGGATGATGCTGGGGTCCGAAGGGACTTGCAGCTGGATGCGTATTACCTAAAAGGCAGAGACAAAAAGAATTGCTTCTCAGTTAAGTGAGGGATAAAGGCGTCTTAAAAAGATGAAAGCAACGATCCGTCAATAGCAGTAACTAGCCACAGGGGGATAGAGATACATAAGGTCATCGCAGTGAATATGTACATACAGTTCACGTTTTCACTAGATCATCACCCCAAGAGGCGGCTTTTTTGTGGAAATGGGATTCCATTGAAACAAAGCCATGGCTCCGATTTCCCTGTGACCGATGGAGAATGTCATTTTCCAATCCACCAAGATTTCAGGCTCCATCTCGCAGATGAGGACCCCAGTGACGGTTTTTAAATGAGATCACTTACAAACTTTCGCACTGCGCAGGACAGCTGCGGAGGCCAGTGCACTGAAGATCCACCAGAGAAACAGGGAGAAGTGCAGCAAAGTGGCAGATTGTTATTGAACACAGTGTTAGGCCGAGCAGCCGGTCATCCATCTTGTGGACAGCTAGTCACCGTTAACACTCCTGCCTCCCGCAGCACTGAAAATAAAGTCAGCACATCCACAGCTCTGCAAGGACTGCAGCGTGGTTCAATATCGCTGAGGAATGTGTCACTTCCACTAGGTTGAGAGATTTATATAGCGGGCAGTTTCTCATCTAGTGCCAAGTCAGTTAACATTTTTGTGTTGCTGTACTTTATTGATTTCCGAGAAGGCATCATCATAAAATATACAGCTCGGCAGATAAGCCGTCAGAAATACAAGATATAGTGCTGGGAGGAAGACCATTTCTGACAATGATTTTTTAAATTAAAATGTCACCTTCATTCTCGATAGAATAAGTCTGTTAAGAGGAGTCTGCAGGAGGCTGAAGGCTGACTGCGCGAACACTGAGCTCACAGATTCACTGGGGTTTGTGAACTATTAACACCTTCAAACCCTGGTACCATTCGCAAACACTGGGCCACAAAACCATCCGGAAATTTGGCTTGTTATGACATTCCTAGCATTTGGTATCGGGACTATTAATGGGGGATTGTTGGCAAGGACATCAGCTGAGGTACGCACCTGTTGTGGAGAAGAGAGGCCTGGCGAGGTCATGTGGGTAGGAGAATCCAGGGAACATGCCAGGGGCCGGGGGCCGGCTGAACAGATCCAGTTTGCCTCCCAGCTCGAGTTTGTGATGGTCCAATGACATCTGTTGCTTCAAGAACAAAATACAGACGTCCATTAGTCACTGATTGACAATAATAGGGCAGTGTACACACAGCTGTACCCTCTATACAAACCATTCTATTGCTGACCCCATGTAGCGACTTATACACGTTTACAGGTTTGACACTGAAAGGAACAACCAGAGAAATTTACAGAAAAGAAGAAGGCCATTATGTCTATCGTGTCTGTGATGCTCTTTTAGAGAGTGACCTTGACAGTCCCATTTACCTGCCCTTCCCTCACACCCTCCAGTAGTTTACCATTTGAGGGTGTGAGGAAAGAGGGAATGGGTTAGAGCTGTTAGCTGCGGTGGGTGGGGGAGCTAAGCAGCCAATGTGTAACACAAACTGTATAATATTGGATTTTTTCACATAAAGGGTGTAAATCTGGAACTCTCTCTCCCCAAAAGGCTGTGGATTATGGCTGGATCCATTCAAATTTTCAAGACTCAGGTGGATAGATGTTTGTTAGGTCAGGGTATCAAGCGACATAGGGCAAAGGCGGGTATTTGGAGTTGATGTACAGATCAATCATGAACTAATGGAATGGCGGAACTGGCTTGAGGGACTGAATGGCCTACTCCTGTTCCTATGATACTAACACGACTCAGTTAAACAGATTCATTCTAAAACATTGAATTTGCCAGGCTCAGTGATAATCCAAAATGAAATCTTACCTTCATTTTCTGCTGGTGATGGTAGATTTGCCAAGCAATCTGCACATGCACGGCACACCATTTACCAGGCTTCTGTAAGACACAAAGATCCCAATACCATCAACTTGTGGAAACTGAAAAAAATATAGACCTAAGGGTCCATTGAAATGCAATGCAAAATATCCCCCACAAAAGCAAACAAAACAATGTGAAATCAAATGTTAACCAAATGCGCTTGCTGCCAAGCTTCAAGTAGATACACATAGATTGGTGAGGTGAAACAGAGTAAAGGACAAATTTGATTACAGTGCGACAGTTGATTAAAAACAGTGAAATATGTAAATGGACATGGAGAGAGGGAAAGAGAGAGAGAAAAAAATGCCTGACATTGGGAAGAGCTGACCTTCGACGACTTTACATCTTTCAGGGAATAGGACACTGAGCACAGGAATGGGAATGTGGGACTTGAAGTTCAGATTTTATAAGAATGCAACTTTGGCTCATTTTCTTCCAATTTGGGCTCTGGGAACCCACAGGTTTACATTTGAACAGATCAGAAAACATCCACCATTAGTCCCACATTTCATCTCCTGCAAAAACTCAGTCTCCTGTAGTCCCTGTAAGACCCTGAAGCCTGACAAGTACTTTAGGAGAGTCAATTTGAAAAAGGTGACATGAACACCTATGGAGTCTTCACATTCTTCCCCAAGTGCCACAGGTCCCTGCATCACTCCTTGTGGCTGTCCTGTGAACAAGTTCAGATATGAAACATGAAAAAAGCCCTATATGGGGTGAGGTTTTCCTGGACAGGCCTTTAACCTTGCCCAGGGAGGTAGGTCCTTGTGAGAGAGGAAGATTGTTTGTATGAGTTGGTGGAGAGCTGGGAACGTTCCACACAAGCCACATTACGGACAGGCTCAGCCCATGCCCTGCTTCTGTAGAAGACCAATAGTCGATGGGATTTTCTGTGTGCGTTGGACAAGAGCATCATCCACACAAGGTGGGATCCATTCTTCTTCATACTCAAAGTGCACATTAGATTCTCCAATCATCATCTCTTCAGCCAAATGGTACTTGGTTGTCATTTCTGGCTGGAATTCGAGATAAGGTCTGGCAATCTGCCTCTCCTTCTGCAAGATTAGGCACTCAGTGACTAGAGCACTCAGCTCAATAATCTCCCTGGCTAAAACCACGTCCGCCAGTGCCATCATTTACCATGTTCACGTCAACAGCTCAAACAACAGCTTGTGCTAGACTAAGTACCATCTCCTTCCAAGGAGAAGTCAGGACTTGTTTCATCTGGGCCACCATGTTATCTGTAGGAACACTGACATTAGAGTGACCCATACTATAGGCTGCAGAGCTCGAACTATGTTGAACCATGAGGTGCACTGTCTGAGCTCTTAGGATAAGAATATCAGACTAAGCAGCCATAGAGGCCGGAGTTGACTGTACTGTGTGCTTCCCTTTTGAGGAAGGTAAGAGAGAAATCAAAGCATGGAAACTCAATAGTCCAGACGAGTGCCCTTAACAGTCAAGAAAGCATTTTAAGCCCCATCCCTCCCAGAAAAGATATTGCTGAAAGCTTCTTTGCAGACAACTGGGTACTATAGATTGGCGTGATGATTGGGTTTCTATAATGGATGGGAGGCAATTTAATAGTCGAGCTTGGGAATAGAGAAGATAATGATTGTGGCAACCAGAGACCTACTGAACAGTGTCCTTATGTCTCTATCCCAAGGAGGTGGAGGAGCAGATGTATTTCAGGTTTGAGCGCTCAGGGAGCTAGATGGAAGTTGATTTGCGTCAGTTTGTAAGGAGCCGGTGGGTGGGAATGGGGCTCGTTTCGGGACCTGGCAGTGGTGGATTTTCAGAAAACATTCCTTCAGGAGGGAATATTCTCTGACCTGCATGGCGTCTATGAAGGATTCCTGTGGAGTCCCTCAGGATTACCAGGGCCTGAACTTATCCCCTGACTGAGATGATACTTACGCCCAGTGGTTTTTGAGGTAGATTTACCCTTTTGAATGGGAGCTGGAAGAAAACAGTAAACACAAATGAAACACTGAACTCTTTGTGGATGAACCTTTTCAACAAAAGATGCTTTTTAAATAAAATTACAATTCGAGCTTTGCACTTAGTACACCATGGAACTCTTTACTGAATTTATGGTCAGTCAGGAGACACAACTTCTTTCTTTCTATCGCTCACACAGATTACTGGAGCTAAACCTCGAGAATAATGCCATTATTTTATATCTCAGCCTCCAGAAAGCCAAGGAGCTTCAATATTTTCCAAAGAAAAGTTCCATTCACAAGGTCCAAATGAATGCACCACGACAGAAATATTAACATGCTTGCGTGACCAGGACAGATGCATGACTGATACAACATAAAGACTGAGGATGGGATCCTATGTACATACAACAAACATATACAATATATACACATACACACCACAGGAAGGAAATGGCCAGGCTCACTAAAAGCGTCCATGTAATTTGGTTGGTTGAACCATACCCCAAGATCACTGGAGAATGAGTGAGAAACCTAATCATCTTCCACGTGCTAGAGTAGCTGATCATTTTAGTTTTAAATGTTACTGAGGTTCTTATCCATCCAATGCTCTCAGATTGGGAGCCAAGACCCCGATCACTGACTGGGTCAAGGCCCAAAACAAGAAGCAAATAAAATTCTGCATCGCGTTGCCCTGGACTACTTACCTGCTATCATCAACAGCAAGACTCAGTATTTTGTTGGCAAAACCTATAAGAACTTTCCTCCCCCCCCCCAAACCCCCCACCCCCACACCATTGGTGCGGCTGAATGCGGACAGCAGGAGCACTCTGGTAACTTGTCCGACAAGCTATTCCGCACGCTTGAATCAAGACAGCACCAGTCTGCAGGTGGCTTGACCTTAGAGGGCGTCACATCTGAGCCCAATCCTTCACACTTGCACAGTCTCTAACAGCGGTTCATTGCATAGCAATCAGGAAGGGCCACCCTGTCTCAGCCCAGAGCAACAAAGCCAATTGTAGCACAGAGGAGAGCTGGACGTCGGGCTGTGTATGTGTGCACGGCTTCACCATCTCTGCCGTTGGCGCAAGCTTACAGAAATCTACTATAGTACTGAAAAGTATAACAGAGTTTGGAAGCAACTAAAGCAGCATCTCTTTTCACTCTTTCCAAATTATTTCTGCTATAATAATTCCCATATTGTGAGCTGCAAATTGAAATATAATAATTCACATGTTTTGTTTTTATAAGAGTTCATGTTTAGCTGCAGTGAGAATCATGAAGTTGGATTCAATTATTCAGGACACAATAATTTCAATTAGTAGATTATTTGATAAATAAAATAATGCCTTTTCATTTTCGTTCTTTTCCTATTATGTTCTGACTGTCCTGATGTGAAGGAAAGGGAGGGCAATTTAAATCAGCCTCTAATGTATTAGCAGAGAATGTTACAGCACAGAAACAGACCATTTGGCCCACATTCTCTGCGTGAGGCACCTCTCTGCTGCTTGCTCCCTCAATACCCTCTCATATTCCACTTTTCAAGCATTTATCTATTTCCCTCTGGACTCTGTTACTCTGTGTGTGACCCTCAGAGGACAGGGTGGCTAAGGTGGGGAGAGCACTGATATTCTGATTTTTATTCAATTGGCTGAAAGAGTGAAATCTGGAATTGAAGGCTTTAAACCCACGGTCCACATCTATGTCTGCAAGCCAGCAAGCGAGAGCACAGGCACCTCAGCGTTCAGAGATCACTCATCTTAAGTGGAAACTAATTCTTCACAGCGTGAAAGTGAGTCAGATATGTGGCCAAAAGGATGGTTTTTGTCAAACAGTCCTCCTTAATTCTAGTAACCGACTTGAAATCGACACCAACTATCCTTGCAATAGCTGGCTTCTGAACAATCAGGCTGTTTGACAATTATGAACAAGTCCCACTGTATGAAAAATACTGGATGAAATCGATGAGAGAAAGTAAGCGGTTTACAAGGTATATTCTTTTAAACGTTCCAGGCTAGATTTGAGAGAAACATGGAAAGAATGCACAACTTAAAATGATGGAAGTAGCTTTACAAAATGATTAATCATTTCCACTTACTCTTATTGTCTGTCTATAGGGGTCTGTCAACTGCGAAGGGGGAAAAAAGACAGAATGTTACATTATTATATTGATAGAAGCAAAATATTAATAAGAACTGACAACATAAAAACATCTAGAGTAAACCAATAATACGGCTGTCAGTGTTTAACGTATTAAATTCCACCCAAAGATAATCACTCTTCGAGGTAATTCAAAGAATTCCTGGCATATATGGATTTCATTTTTTAGCATCAGATACAAATGAAATACTCATGTCACCATCGGTAAAAGGGTAAATTATTCTTTGTAAAGGCTTTTACAGACAGCAACATAATGCAAACATTTTCTCAAAAAAGCTAGGCTAATACACAACACATTATCTGTGTTGGCCATGTGTCACTGCTAATATTCGTCACCAGCTGGCAGCGATACACAGTGCCTCACTGTTGTAGATTACCGAGCATCTTGTCTGTGTTATTCGACTTTACGTTTGAAATACGAGAACTGCACGAGTTCTGAGCTCAAGTACTGGGCTCACATTTCTCCTCACTCTATCTCCCATCTTAGCTGGCTTCCCTGCTTAGATTTGGGGCCAAAATTCCCTCCCTTCTTTGGCTGAGAGTGGGTGCATCTGAGAGTGATGATGTCTGCCATTGTCTCTGAGAGCAGGACAATCTGATCTGAGCACTGAGATCAACTCGTGTGCTATCAGACGACTCTTACAGAGAATGAGATATCCCATTAATACCCTTCTCCTCCACTCCCAGGTCAGCAGTGTAATGTCCACCTTCAGTCCTACATTTACTGGCTTCAAATACTTAAGGTAACACTGGCGAGTGCAGGAAAGATTCAAAACTTCCAAAGAATTTACACACTGCAGAGAGTATTACCCCATGAGAATCCAGTCTATTTTATAAGCAATGACTTTGATTAAAAACCCGCGCACTCTTCCAATTACACTAAAATCACTGGATAATATTAATAATAATCCTTGCATTTGATACAGCACTTATCACATCTTCGAGACGTCTCAAAGTGCTTCACAGAATACACTGTAAAGTGAATTGACTGTATATTTTGTAGGCGAAACGAGGCAGCCAATTCCACACAGCAGCGTCCCACAAACAGCCGTGGGTTGATTGACCAAATTATTATTTTTTTGAAGGGAATATTATTGCCCCTGGAAAAGGAATCCTCCAATCGACTACCAGCCAGCTTCATACTTATTGCTGGGTAAACAGAGGCGTGTGTGTGGAGTAAAGAAACTTGCCTAACATTTCGCTCTGACCGGGAATCAAACTCAAGTCCTCTCGCTTGCGAGGCGAGTGCTCTAATCATTAAGCTACAGGACTTCCAAGATGGTGAGTGTTGGCAAACTATTCGACCATGAAGGACAGTCTAGTTCCATCTTGACTTCATGCTCCATCTACAAGATTAGATTGAATGAAGAAGCTCTTTGATTTGATTCCTTCATTCACAATCACACACACTATGGTGACCTCAGCAGAGATCAGCTCACTCAGTAAAGAGCAAACTCGAGGCCTATTGGTCAGTTCCAAAGCCCTCACCTTTCACTATAATCCCACACCCCATAAAATCTCAATCTTTCTCTCACTTCCTCTATCTGTGTAGACTCAGGCAACTTGGGCCAGAGATGGCAATAACCTCAATGACTTTCTGATGTCATGGTTTATGCTCCAGTATCAACAGAGGCTCTCAAGGGTCCCATTCAATGGGCAGCTCAACAAGCAGGTCAGTAATATAGCTATGGTGTTTACCAGAACTACAGTCCTTTACAGAGCTACTGGGCTAGAGTCAAACACCAACAAGTCTGCAATGTAAGGATGCCAAATCCAGGGTGGTAAAGGATGCTGGGATAAGGCTAGTTTATTTACCCTGGGGTCCTTCTGCAGTAGGGTGTGAGGAACTGCTCCTTGTCTGCTTGCTACATCAATTGGATTGGAAGTCTGGGAAGATAAACACCACAGTCACGTCATTAACAATAACTGCTCTAATCTCCTCAATCACTGCACTGTAGTCAAAGTGCCACCCAGAGTGGAAAAACAGACCAGATCCCTCACTTTCAAGACCTCTCGCTGATCATGGTTCAAATCAAGAAAACACTGAAGAGACGTGTGGCGAGATTTGGGTGAGTCCCAAACAACAAATCCCTGATCTTCGTTGTGTCCGTGGGCAATGTGTGAAGTATGTGTGTATGTGTGTGAGGGTATGTGTGTCTGTGGGGGTGGGGGTGTTGGCAGCTTTGCTCTCATGATCAGGGAGTCTGTTCAGGAGTCTAAGGAGTGGATTACATACCCTTAAACACCTTGATATTAAGCCATTCAAATACTGCATAAAATCAAACAGCGGTTAAATGTTGCATTAATGCAAGCAATCAAAGCAGCATTAAGGATTATATTCACTGTTCTCACTAACTCTCCTGAGGGAAAGATGCTGCATATTTTTCAGATTGGGCAGTGGATCACCAAGGCTATCTCTCTGCATTGTGAACCGGACACTTAACCACCAACCCGTGATCAAGACATCAACTAACGCACTTATTTAGCAAAAGCCGTGCTTTCAGAGAATAGAGTTCTTTCCCAGACTTGTCCAGTAACTGCTTCGTTTGTAAAGCCTGGGGCTAGAGTAAAACCTTGACCCCAGGAAGGCTTCTGGGTCTCTGCTGAGTTTGTGGATCAGAGATGGAAGGGGAGAGGGAGCAAGGCCAATACAACTAGCTACAGTCCCACTGGGCGGTGTTCGACTGGAGAGTGCGGCCTCGCTCCTCTCTCCTCCACACCCCATGCCCCCTCAGTGGAACAGTCTGCCAACACAAAGCAGGAGCGATGAAGAACGGGTTGTAGTTAGTGAGTGAGGCTGACCAACCCCTGTCTGTGGTACCAGCCCCCAGCTGGAGCTCATACCTTCTCAAGAGAGAACAGTAAGTTGGGAGGTGGGGAACAAAGCAAAACAAAGTACAATTCAGAATGTTGTGTCCATATAAAACACAGCTGGAAACACACAGCACTTTTAAAGCCTCCACATTCACATTCTGTTGCACAACTAAATTGCAACGTTAAGGATCCCAAATCACAATTCCGTCACTCCCTTCCTGCTCAGATACCATAAGAATTTGTCTGAGGAACCTTTCTTTGAATGGCATTTCCCGGCAGGATAGTAAGACTCAGGAAACACAAGAATTCTCTACACTCAGTCCTCAAATACAAAGATTATTTTTATGCCTGGATCACTGCTCCCTGGTTTTCTAAATGGCCTTTTTAATCCCACTTTCTGCACCTCCTCCCCCACATCCCTTAGCGTTTACAAAACCCAAACTATTACGTTTTATTAAATAATAGAGGGTTTTAGGTGAGGAGGAGGTTTGTGTGGAGTACCAACACCGGCACACACTAGTTGGGCCGCATGGCCTGTTTCTGTGCTGCAAATCTGTATAAATTCCCATGTACAATAATATTATTACATAAACCTGCAGCTAAAAACTGCTCGAAAATCTATGGGGAAGAAAGGGGACGAGGGAGGAGAAGACGTATTTATAAACTGCTCAAGCTTTTCCTTTAGCAGGTCTGACCTCATTTGAAGCCCTTGATTAAGTTACAGCCTTTCAACCCATTCCCAGGTACTCATTATTCCAGTCAGAACTGGAAGCGTTAGAGAGATAACAGTGCTCATTCCCCGCCGCAAAGTGTTTACTTTACACGCTGTAAATTTATCACCTTGCATTTGGAAGAGAAACATTTTTAAATTGTAATTCATTACATTTGATAATACATGGTAGAAAAATTCTAAGTTTCATTCTGATCTCCTTCCTGTGACCTTGAGCTAAGGGTGTACTGTACCGGCTGTCCATGAAATTGCCATTTGCCTGCACTATGACAGTCAGATAATGGATAACCTGTTATGCCTTTAACTGGCTCCCAGCTCAGCAGAGTGGAGTGCAAAGACAGTGAAATTGACTGAGGTAATCAGTCTCTCCCCGGCTCGGTGACAGACGCTGGGGCCTGAAAAATGGAGGAGCGCTCAGCAGCACCGACCCAGGCAAACTTAATAACCCTGGCTGATCATGGCAGCCCACGGAAAGGCATTGTGCTCAGTCAGCATGAGCACACAGAAGACAGGCCTTCAGGGCAAAAAAATCATCTGCTCTACAGAACAGGGTAATTTGCTTGTTTGAAATGGTTCCTACCATTACAATGCATCAGCCACAGGAGTTTTGACTCCAAAGATGGGTCAAGTATTATTAACCTTTTGCAGTTTACCCCCAGGGCCCTTCTCTGCTGCTGAAGCCGGCATGTAAATTATCTGGAAATTTGCAGATCAAATCGCTCTGCTTTTGACAGATACATTTTTTTCTTGAGTTATATGTGTGGAAAATGCTGTACTTACTGAACCCTGGCCTAATCATAGGTTAACCACATCAATCACGGTGAGGAGACTTTAACCATTTATGGGCGGATCGCACACAGGAAGCAAACAGCAGCCCCAAGTCCTGACAGACTCGCTATCAATTAGAGTGTGTAATTTAACGCTGCTTTTCCTTTGGCACTCTTTGGGGATAGTTGCTTCATTCAAAAGGGCAAAAATATTTTAAGAAGATGTAATAATAATAATCCTTGCATTTGATGCAGTCCCTGTCCACATCTTCAAGACGCCTCAACCAATTCACAGAATATACTGTAAAGTGAATTGATATTGTATTATGGGGTGTAACCTGCTTTGTACCTTTCCAATGCTGCCACGCCTTTATCCTGCCTTATACTGGCCAATGTTCAGCCTAAGTAACCCTGGCTTGCTGGCGCTCAGCATATATAAAGTCGCCTCGTGCCTACCTTAGGCTGAAATGCTCCCTGAAGAGACCCAAAGGGACCTGAATGTGGAATCATGGGCGGCATTCCTGGCATTGTTGGAGCGTACGATGGGAAAATCTGAAACCAACAAAAATACCAGGAATTTCTCTCAACTCCAACTTGAGCTTCCAATGCAATGCAAAGCAGACACAGCCAACCAGAGGCTCTACAGACAAGATTCCGATACTCAAGAACACAAGTATGTGAGCTGTTTACACATGCATGCAATATCTCAGCCAGCATTTAAAAACTGCTTACAACAGGCACTCAACCAGATTCAGGATAAGGTGAATGGCAAAGATATGGTACGAGGTTTAAGACACAATTCAGAAGCGTGAATGTAGCTTTGAAATAGTTGCTCCCTTATTAACATTGGGTCTGCATTCACGCCTACTTTTTCTAAATACATAACATTTTCTAAGCTACTGGCAACAACTCAGGGACAAATCGACAGATGTGAGCAAATGCCTCGTGTTAAATAAGCTTCTCCCTGGGTGCGCTGTGCACATTAAACAGAGCATTAAAAACCAAGGGGAGATATTGTCCAATCTGAAGCTAGAAAGCGCTTCAAAGTTCAAAAGCATTGAGTCAGATCTGGGCAGTTCATTAGAAATGCAAATTGGGAGCTGATTAAATGAAGTGCAGATGTGCAGGAAACCATAATAATAATCCTTGCATTTGATATAGGGCCTTATCACATCATCGCGATGTCTCAAAGCGCTTCACAGAATATGCTTTAAGTGTATGACTATATTTTGTGGGTGAAACGCAGCAGCCATTGGAGCGTCCAACAAACAGTCGTGTATTAAGTGAGAAAATTATTTTTATTTGAAGGGCTTATATATTATCCCTGGAAAAGCGATCCGCCAATCGACTAACAACCGGGTTCCTACTTACTGCTGGGTAAACAGAGGCGAGTGGATTAAGGAAACTTGCCCAATATTTCGCCCTGCCCAGGAATCGAACCCAACTCCTCTCATTTGCAAGGAGAGTGCTCTCACCATTAAGCTACTGGACTCCACAAATATACAGGTGAAATGAAACTGGATGATAATGGAATGACAATCTTTAGTCTGAAAGCTGAGGCACACACACGCGCACACACTCTCAGTAACCAAAGGATACTTACGCTAGAATGGCGATAGAATGGGTTTTCGATTTTTGGTGCATATTTTTCAAACTGAGAAGAAGAGAGAAGGAAATTGTTAACAATTTTCTGCTATTTGGCTAACATTAAAGCAATTCAGCGTCACTTGAGTCTAACCTGCCGAGATTAAACTGGTTTGCCAATCAATACCGCGTTTCCTCACACGGTTCAAAAGCAGCTAATAATTGACTGATCAATATTATTAGTTTGCTTACATGATTTTTCAACCTGTCAGAAACCATTTGCAACTGCGTTCTTTAACTGCTAAACAGCTTTTAATAATTATTTCTACATATTTCATCTTTAAACAATTACGGGACATTAGGAAATGGAAAATCTTCACACAGCCATTTGGCGAGGCAGCTGCCTCTGAATATAATAACTATGTATACAGAACACACGCATAATTTCATTAATTATAGCCATTACCAGATGTCTGCCACTTAAGTCAGCATAAACAACATTAATCACAAAAACATACACTAGGTAGATTATACACACACTTCTTTATAACCATAATTAGGTCACATGGTATAGTTCCTTGCGCATAAAAACCCATGCACACCATTAAGCCGCTTTGTTTTAGAAGAAGTTCGAACATTTTTCTTTTATGAAATTTAACAACGCCATTTCAAGGGGAAGCCTGCAGCTTGCACAGCGCTGGTGTATACACCAGATAGCTTCCAATTAGACGCTTTTAACACTTATTTAAAGTCGGTACACCGTTTTGGAGCCATATGGTTTAAGGTGACTTCGATTCCGCCTTCTCAACTCTAATTATGCTGCACAGATTGTGGCTGTATGTGAGAATATGCCGTGGGAATACAACCGCTTTCATTCACAGAATTAGGTAGAAGAGAACACGTGGATGAGTTTCCATTTTATTCCTGTGCAGATTAGATGGCTGTGGTTTGGCAAGTCTTTTGCCCGGTTTATTGCTCTCAATAAATTTATTGCACAATTCAGTCGTTCTACACTGTCTAAATAAAGAAAACATATTTGCGACACTAAAGATTAAACTCCCACTGCTGCAACAAGCACAGAATCAATGTGTCCCAAGGGACAGAAAGGATATGTCTCGTCTCCACTATTTCTTTGACCATACAAGCCTTTAAAGTACAATCAAAATTCTGCACAAAGCCTTCTCTCGCAACTGTCGGTATTTTGTGGTATTGCAAAGAAAAGGGAGAGCGACAGTATTTAATTTGACGTTCATCAAACATTAAAGTGGCGTTAAAGATATTATTCTCTTTAATTATTAATGCCCACAGTAAAACAGCAATGGGTGAAAACACAAGTGCCAGAAACAACTTCAGTACAGGCACCGACCGACCTGCCTGGTGTGTGCGCTACTTGGTTGTACGGTCAAAAGATATATCAGGAGATTGAGGTTTAAAAAAAACATGCCAGCCAACCTGTGGTCACTGATGGCAAGAGAGAGAGCGAAGGGAGCTTTGTTGTCCGGGGGTGGGGGGGGTGGGTGGGAGAGAGTTAAGAGAGATGCTCTACTTATCCTCACTTTTCTGCCTGGGTTACGCACCATAGGGGGTGCAGTGGGCGGCATGTGCGGAGTGGGTGGCAGAGTCGCAGGGAAAGGAGAGAACGTGTGCTGATGTGTGTGCTGATGCGTGTGCTGATGCTGATGTTGGTGCTGATGAAAGTCCGCCCTCAGGCACGGCCGCGGGCCCAGCGACCCCGCCCGCTCCCAACTCTGAACCAAAAAACGGTTGTTCAGCTCTTGCCTCAGCAGCTCACGCTCTGTAAGAGAAAGAAAGAGAGAGAAGGGCCGTGGGCCAGTCAGTGGTAAAGTAAAGAATAGCCAATATTCACCTGGCATTCCCTGTTTCTGCAGGTCATGCTGTGGTGGTTTTCTACGTGAGGACTCAATGGTGGAGGTAACAGAGATGCCTGTGACAAAGCTCCAATCAGAATTCCTGACTGAGGCTGACAATACATGATAGGTTGGTTGAATGATATCAACAGGCTGGTATCTGGAGACAGAAGAGAACCATATGAGTCATCCCAGCAGAAACCAACTGGGACCAGAAACAACAGTCAGCCCCCACCTCACCCTCAGATAATGGTGAGACGCGCCACTCGTCACCATGAGAGCAGCCAGCAACACCCGTGGCTGAAACCCTCCCAGCGCCTGTGCACACAGCCTGGCGTGCGATCAGACACTCACACCGTGGCTCTGACCCGCGGAGGTGGCAGCTCAGACCCCACGTCTGTGCTGCTACAGCAGGTAATGTCTACGAGCCGCACTGCCAATCATCCCCGCCTCCCAGTGAAGGGAAACGTTTGGGATGAGACAAAATGTCTGCTTGCTCTTGCGAGGACATGCTTCTCTGCACCACTCCAGCACGACAAACAATTCCATTCGAACAACAATAGCAAATTATATTTACACAGCGCCTTTCACGTCGTGAGGACGTCTCAAGGCGCTGGACAGTCAGTGATTTGCACCCGAACTGGGGGTAGGGGTAGGAGGGTGGCTGAATGCACGGTTGAAGAGGAAGGTCTTGAAGGAGGCAAGGGAGGGGGCGAGGCGAAGGGACTGTGGGAAGGAATTCCAAAGAGAACATGGTTTCATGAAAAAAAACATGCATTCTTTAGTTCAGTCTGAATTATTTTACTCGAGATAAACAGCTCGAAAATCCGAGACTCTTTTTAGACCGACGTAAAACGGATCGTTGTTAAATACAATGTCAAGTCAAGGGACTAAACCGCACATCACTGAATAGGAACGCAAACCACTTGGCCAAAACTGCCCAGGACACCACATCAGGCAGCAATTTAAAGTGATAAACGCACACACTTGCTTTCACATGCCCCCAATGTCCTTAAACGTGCACTGGGGATAAGTCGTCAAAAGTGACAGTTGTAGCACAGAAATCAGCTTTACTTGTGTAATGAGTTTTAACATCATTCCAGCATTCCGGGTTTGCAGGGGGACTAAACGGGGGCGGGCGTGTTAGTCTGATAGTGTATCACCACTGAACATCAGCTGTTTTGTTTCTCTTCCCCAGAAGAATGAGTGGATATCCCAAGCTAGTTCGCTTGTATGGAGGGAACGAGAGGGGAAATAAACTACTAACAGTCCTCTCCATCAAACCAAATACTGTCCTCACTGTATCCACCTAATGGAGGACATGGGGTGTCCTTGCCTCTCCTGCCAGCTGTCATTTCCGTCTCCCAGGTAACTACCAAAGCTTCTTTACAGCTTGCCCCCCCACGAACACGATCAGTTGAGAAAACGTCTGCAACTCTCAAGTTAGACCAAAAGTCCCACACAAGAGATTGCGTTGGATTCATCACTAAACTTTAATGCTAGTGGCTTTGACTGGATGTCCAATTGCTTTCAGATCATTAATTGCAAAGGAATTTATTTCACGGTGCTGCATAACACAATGACACCTCCATTTCCCCAGATCACAACATTCTCACCATCAGGAAGTCAATTACATGCAGTGCGTTATTATTGTTATTATTAAAAAAAATTAAGGAATAAAAATGACTACTTTTAATTGAAACAAACATCAGCCCTCAAAACAAAAGATATTTTTCATTCTTGGGAATTAACAGTTAATTAAACAGCAAATTGCTCTGCTCCTAATGAGCGTAAAGCATGGCTCAAACACAGTGACAAAGAGTGTGCACCTACCTGAATAGCCAGGTCCTGCGGGATGGCCCGGCACCACAAGACTGTTTGACGTTAGAGGAGGTGGTGGTGGCAAGGTAGCCGGAGTGGCAAACATGGCGTGGTGGAGCGGGAGTGTGGGAGGCCGCAGGGAGAAATTGTGTGAGGTAGCGAGGTTAGGAATGGAGAGGGGAAGTACTGGAGTGGCTGAATGGTGGGGGTGGATTTGGGGGGACGGAGTTAAGTGCTTGGGCAGGCTGATGCTTGCAGCACTGCTGGCGCTGCTACTCCGGCTGCTGGAAAGAGAAATGTGGCTGTTAGTTAACATGTTGTCCAAAGACCTCGCACACCCACAGGCACAGCACAGAGAGCAAGGTGGGAGATCTCCCTGTGGGAAGGTTACAGCCCATTTTAAACACTCGTCTACATTCACATCAGTCTCACTGAGGCCCAGGGTCTGATATTAAAGGGAATGTGGATGTGAAGCACTGTTCTATCACAGAGATGTGTTATTATCATCATTCCCCGCTTCGGTTTCCTGGAGAGCTTCTAAACCCCTTGATTTCTATCACCATAATAATAATAATTCTTGCATTTGATGTAGCCCCTATCACGACTGTAAGACGTCTCAAAGCTCTTCACAGAATACACTTTGTATATTTTGTGTATTTGTGGGCGAAACGAGTCAGCCAATTGCGCACAGCAGTGTCCCACAAACAGTTATGCATTGAGTGACCAAATTATTATTATTCTGAAGGGATTATTGCCCCCGGAAAAGCGATCCATCAATCGATTAACAACCCGGTTCCAGTTACTGACTAGGTAAACAGAGGCGTGTGTGGATTTGGGGGGACGGAAAGTTGCCCAACATTCGCCCCAGCCAGGAATCGAACCCAGGCCCTCGCTTGTGAGACAAGTTTAGAGTGTTTTGTTAATAAAAATCCTATATGCGCTTCCATCTGGCTATCAGTCTTCCCCTTCCTGTAGTTAATTGGGCTGCAGTAATCTAGTAATTGACAGACTGATATAGCTTTATGATGTTTCAGCCTCTGATCTTGTATCAGTCGGTGAAGCACCCGGATCCTAGCCTGCAAACTCCAATGTGAAATTACACTGTGCAGACAACCATGCCTGTCAGCCCCTGGGTGATTTGGGAATACAGATGAACTAATTGCTTGCGTTTATGTTTAGTGTAAATTTGGTCCGCGAGGACCAGATTGCTACCAAAGTCAGAACATTCAGGTCAACGAGAACTTCTGTCTCCTCGTGCCTCAGCGATCACACCTCGTCCTCCTGGTTTTATTGGCGTTAACCAGCACACTGCCAGGAATATGTGCCCTCGTGGTGGGAACCACAGATCAGATATGTGTTGCCCACATTTAAGGACTGAGTAGAAAAAGAACCAGAGGGGAGATGAAGAGAATTTTTCTTTAATGCGGCGAGTTGTTACGGTCTGGAATGTACTGCTAAAAAAAGGTGGTGGAAGCAGATTTGATAATAGCTTTCAAAAGGGAACTGGATAGGTACTTGTAAAGGGGGGGGGAGGCAAGAGGGAGGGGGAGGAAGAGGAAGGGGGAAGGAGTGGAAAGGAGGAGGGGGGAGAGGGGGAGGGAATGGAGGGGGAAGGGAGAGGAGAGGCGAGAGAGGGGACTAGGAGATGAGGGGGGGCCTGGGAGAGAAGGGAGGGGACTGGGAGAAAAGTGGGGGCGGGAACTGGGAGAGAAGGGGGGGACTGGGAGAGATGGGGGGGCGGGGGGGACTGGGAGAGAGGGGGCGGGGGTGACTGGGAGAGAGGGGGGGGGGAACGGGACTGGGAGAGAGGGGGGGGGGACTGGGAGAGGGGGCTCACTGCTGACGTGCCGATATGTTTGGTTAACTCCATCGATGAAATCGATGTGATGTGCTGCCGCTTACCTGATACTGTTAAGACTGCTGAAAGGCAGCTGGTGGTGAATCTGGTGATGTGCAGGCAGCTGGGGGTGGACGGGAGGCAGTGGAGGGTGCTGCACTTGTGGTGGTTGTAGCTGTGGAGTTGGCTGCCTCGGGCGTGGCTGGGTCTGATGCACCACCTCCTTCACGGCCGGGCTGGCTGTGCGGTGAGGAACGCAGGCGATGGACACTGGAGGGATGATGACGGGCGGAGGAGGACTGGGGACCAGGGGGATGAAGGGCACCTCCTTGCTCTGTTCCTGGCTACGCTCGAGCCCCGAGATCTTGGGAACACCTGATCTCTTTGTTTCAGGTTTCTCATTCGATGTCAGGCTGCTTCCAGTGAAGCTTGAACCTGGGAAATTAAAGGAAAGTGAAAGCTATTTTTTGTGAAGTGTTTATGCAGTACATTTCCATGCTTAACCACCATCAGCTGATCCTGCCTCTCTGAGGAACAAAGTCAGCTTTAATAACTCACTCCTAATTATTGGTTAAACGCCTGTCGATTCAGCTCTGTGCCAAACCTACAGTCTTAGCAGAAAATGATTGTGTTGCCGTGGAGCAATGAAAAGTTCACAGCCTTTTCCCCACTGCGCGCTGATCAAAATCCGCAGCTCATTCATTCCCCTTAATATTTGAGGATTAATTAAATGTAGGGGCTTTATCGCAAACCTAATAGCATTTCCCACAATTTATTAAAAAAAATCTACCTGTTTAAATTGACAAAGAGGCCAATCTCACAGCCCTGTGGTCCAGGCGTAATCCATTTCAACAAATTACAATCAAATGAATACGAGGAGGCAAAGTGGCATGGATATTAACACTAATTGTTGTCTAGCTCCAAACAGCACAGCCTTCCGCAATTTACTTAATGAAAATCTGTTTAGTTTAATTGCTTTGACACTGTTCCCTTTATCTCAATAAATGCATGCATACAGCCAGCTCTGCCTGCCTGGTTCCTACAGTAATGGTCTAAAAGAGGATCTAACAGGCAGCAAGGCCTGTATTTACATCCCCTAATCTCCTCGCTCAATAGAAATCACATTCCAGCTGGCTTAGCCAGGGCTGAATTAGAGAACCCTAAGCACACAAAGCCCAGCTGAATGAAAAACATCTTTAAGACAAGAGTTAAACTTCAGGTATTAAGGGAATTTGCAGCAAAGCTTATTTAGGTTAAACAGGTTCGCCCTTTAGTGCAAGTTTGCTTTTAATTCATTCTGTCCAGATTTTTAAACCATTACTAATCACAACACCAGGTTTTGTTACATCTCTTTCCCTCCTCCAACCCAGGTGCCGTGCTGTTCCTAACTTGCTGCTAATGTTGCTCTGTAACTAGCTGGCTCGCTGCTTCACGAGAGGCACTGATGCATCTTTCCTGTGTGAAAGCACCTCACCTCAAGAGATTGTCCGACTGAGATAAGGCACTCGGCACGTGCTCAATCAAGGGCAGAGAGCTGATGCTCTGTGGCTCTCAGCTCAGTGCATTTAGCTGTTAATCACAAGTTGATTTCATTTAAAATCAATGTCTTTTACGCAGAAAAAATATTTCTAAATGCTTCAAATTTCCTACAAAGCTCACACTGCACATCAGATTCAAAGTGAAACTTTCTCTTTACAAACAATGCCACAGGATCTGTAACCGCCATCAGAAGAGGCAGGTGGGATCTTGGTGTAACATCTGTGAGCTCAACGTGGATCCACCTCCCTCCAGGCTCCCAGCATTCACCTCTTTATAAACCACTCAGAGGTTATACAGAAGTGTAAGTTGCTGTCCGAGCCCCACGGACCAAGGGGCATGATCAATACTGTGCAAAATAATGCAGCTTCCAGTTGCAGCACCAAGAGGATAATGAGCTGTGGACAGTCTGAATGGAGAATCTTACAATCTGGGTTTTGCCCACGACACAATTCGAACACTATTGAGAGAGCGATCGTGTGTCAGTTTGCACTTGGCGCATTGATGCAGATTTAACTGCTTCACACAGTACGTGAATGCTTTAAATGAGGGCAGGAGAAAGGGAAAATTGCCTTACAGTGAGAGCCTTTCTTGTTAGCCATAAAAATTCTGAGCTCGGGGAGCCTCAGTCTACTTAATCCCTCCGCAGTGTGCTGTACTGCAGACCAATTTCCCCCAATGAATAGCAATAAATGAGAGCTCTGATTAGGTCTGGTTTTGACTGAAAAGCATTGATTAATATGCCAACGTCTCAAGTCTGTTTCCAAATGGACAAAAGTCAGATTATCAGGGGTTAGGGAAAGATTTTACACTGATAGTCTGGCTTTAACCCTTCGAATACTGCTTGCCATTTTCCTGCATTCCCCACACCGGACACGAACCTGGAGAGACTAAATGAACGAGTGGAAAACCCGTCTCCTGCTCGGGATTCGATTGATTTCTCTTCTATTCTCGAAAGAAATTATTAATGATTACAATTAATGCATCCTCACAGCTCCCTGATTGAAACCCAAACCAGACCCTCACAGCTCCCTGATCATAAACCAGGGCAGCAGATCAATATTCCCGCCCTCACAGCACGATTAAGAGACCGTATTGCGATGTAACGACTGCCAGCCAGCATTCACCACAAAGCCCAGAGTGTGGAACATACCAGCCCCTAAATACTGAACCATCCAGTTTCTCAAATGCAACGGAGCAGGTAAAATCTAAAGGATTGTTAAGCTTATTATCTTAAACAGCAATTAAGATAATACTCTACCCCCCACATGACAACACTGCATCCAACAGTTTTCCCAACGCATGGCAATGAGTATTCGTCCATTATCCATGAAATAATAATGTATATTACAAACACATGGCTGCTTTTAGATACTGAGCTAGGCTCAGTAACACCATCAATCTGCTTTGCTCAGTGTGGGAGACAGGAAAGTCCAATGCTGTTGGGAGGCAGGAAAGTCCAATGTTGTTGGGATACTCCTAAAATGTCATCATCTCACACCATCCGAACTCTAGCTCGTGTCCTCTCCAGGCTCCGTCAGCACATCGCCCCCAGTGTCGCTGGGCTCCACTTGACCCAGCAAAACAACAAAGATCCTTGTCCTCACCTGCACTGCTCCACGGGCTTGTCACACCCTACCTCCCCAGCCACTGCCTTCCCTCTGCACTCCGCCTACTGCATATCCCACCACCCCATCAGCGAGGGAGCTTTCAGCCACTTTGCCCTCACCCACTGGAACTCCAAAATCTCTCTTCCGCGGCTTGCAAAACCCACCCATAGAATCTCTTTTTCTCTCTCTCTGTGCCCTGGGCCACCCATTGCCTCACTACCCGGCTCACACCTCATCTTTGTAAAGTGCTTTGAGATGTTCTTATGTAAAAAGCACTGTAATAAGTGCATACTGTTGCCATTGCTTCTTTAAAAGGGTCATTATGGCTTGAATGGCAAGATAATATATAACCATTCACACTTCAGTGCACAAGTGCTGGTTTGGTGGCATACAGTCCATTTTGCAGTCAGTCAGTGTTACATTGGCTGACTGTAGTGGGGAGGGAGGTTTGCTGTACGATTTTGTAAAACATGAGCTGCACACACTGCTGCCCCTCCTCACTTCACCAACAGATCTGTATCTGTATCACCGCTAGGAAACCATGTAGACATGTGGTTATTTCACATCAGGTCTGCAAACTGTCTTACACTGGATTTAGGTCAATCGACTGTGAAATTGTTGTGATATGATCAACAACCTGCTGACACTAAAGTATTGAGGTGTGTTAAATCACAAGATACACACAATGGAAGTTCCTGCTGGTCTCTCAAACTCTTTCCCCAATACTCCCGATGGATCAAATGCGTGCTCATCGACTATGGCAATAACCTGCCCGGCACACATCACTCTGATTTTATTGCCTGGTGACGAGGTCCCTCTGTTTGTCCAGCAACAGGGACCACATCAAAAGGCTGAGAGTCAGCTGCCAAAACACACATTGGTCAGTCGGTGTGTTCCATTCATCTGAGGGGATGGAAAGGGGAGAGAGGGAGAGCACAGGCATGGATCGCTGCCTGCTTTGCTCGCACTCCAGTTGAAACTGTGTGCAGGTGATATCTGGGTGGATGGAGCTTTCATTGCTCTAAGTGGCCTGCTCAGGAAAGCTGCATTCCATCCATCATCATTCATTAGGAAAGCTATTGGCAGCCAATTAACTGGAGAGGGCGCGAGCCGTGAAACAAATCAAGATCAGTTCATCTTCCAACCTTCAGGCTGCAGGCAACTGGATTTCGCCACTGAAGACTGTCACATCTGGTTTCCTTCTCTATAAACAACCCATTCTATAAGCTGTCAAAATGGATTTGGAGCCAAATCAGAACAGCGCTATAGTGACAGTGGCAAATAGGGGGAGTGTGCGAGGAGGCAAACATCTGAGGAACCAAAGTATTGGCTTAACTGAAGGAGCATAAGAAACGTGACATGTGTGGCCCTGATAGCATAAAGACATTTTACTCTTCATTTGCCGAGCAATAAATAAATTCAGCTATTGACTGTCCGAGCGTAAAAAGGTTTGTAAACAATTGTGGAGAGACACAGATGTTCACTTGCCATTAAATATTGTATTAGTGCACATTTTCCTTTGAATGCATCTGCACCAATATAAGCAGCACATTATTTTATCCTGTGTTGGCTACAATGGAGGGACTTAGCCCCATATGTACTCAAAGTCCTTGAATCTATCCTCAGCTCACTGCGTGCCAAGAACATCCAGCTGCTCTAGCCAAGCAGAATTAAGGAACTAACTGTGGTTAGAAAGAAAACAGAGACAGAGAAAAACAAACTTGTCTTTTTATAGCCCTTCGCAGGTTGAGGAACGTGCTTCAGAATAAGTGCCAAATGTAGTGACTGTTTTTGTGATAATCCCACCTGACTCTTCATCTCATTGAGAATGACCTGGAATTTATTTTGCCGTTGTAATAAACAGCGCAACAAATCAATCTTGCTAAACAAACACGGCTTCAAATTATTATTATTATTATATCAAAAGATTTCACTATTAAAGTTGTGGAACCTTCAATGGTTTTTAAATGCCACATTTTCAATATTTGCTGAAATCCGCCTGTGCAAAGATAGGTTTGGATGTCCGCAGAGAGCCTGATATCCACCAAAACTGAGGCTGGGGATAAGAGGGCACATGTGGGGAGGCAGGCATAGCACTGTGAAACACACACACAATAAATCCTTTGCCTTGCTGAAATCAGCCCTAGATTTCTCTTGCCTCAGTCTCAGATACTGTTGCATGTACAGCACAGCAGCTGTAATAATCCGATAGAAAAGAAGATGAAGATTTGCTGCATTAACACAAAGTGGAAAAGGCAGGCGACAGACACAATACACGCAATTCCCACA